AAAAAAAAGGGGGGGGGGGTGAAAAAAAAAATATTTATATATATACACATATATATTATTATATATATTATCATTCAAAATAATTGATTCTGCTATATCTTTGTAGTGTATGGACATTAACAATAGGCATTTCTAGCTGCATCCTGCATGTCTTACATTCTTGATTTCTAAAACCAGATTACAGCCACGTTACAGCCAACACCTGGACTGGTGTGGTGCAGTCAACCCTGGTGAATTGTGGAATACTTAAATATATTTAACAGTGTGAAGCAAGTGCAGATTAAGTGTACTGTGTGTCTGTATTTTTTTCGATGTCTTGCCTTCTTCCTAGTGATGCGTGCATGTGCAATTAAATGCTCAAAACCGCAGGTGTGGATATTTGGACAGATTCTTTCCTACCAGCTGCTGTCAAACACAGACGCTGACACATTCCTCCAGCTGACAGAGACAAAAGGAGCATTCTGATATTTTACATTTCTTTTGTTGCACTGTAAAATACTCTTAAGAAAAAATTAACTAATTATTTATACCTTAAAAAGGACTGAGTTGGACTTTAAAGATTCCCTCCTGTGTCCCCCACAGGAAGGTCCGAGATGCCACAGGAGTTGACATCAACATGCGTGTTGGTGTTCATTCTGGGAATGTTCTGTGTGGTGTGATCGGCCTCCAGAAGTGGCAGTATGATGTGTGGTCACATGATGTAACCCTAGCCAATCACATGGAGGCAGGAGGTGTGCCAGGGTAAGAATACCCAATATGTTTTGCAGCACTGTCATGCAAGTCTTTGTAATTATTGTGTGGTTGGAAAACTAGAGACACGTACCTGCACGGTTGCCAATATTAATATGTAAACCAGACAAGAAACTATGCTTTGAGAATTGACTAACACTTCCTGCTTAGTGATTAATGCTGAGTTGCTCTTTAGTAAGTCACTGAATTCCCATCTGCTGCACTACAGTTCCATTTGGCCTGAAGTAAAAGTGAGCAAGTCCCAGTAGCCAGTGCTACATAAACTCATTATGTTGAGTTTCAGTCCAGTCAGTATCTCAGGGAGCCTGTTTTGGAAGCATTTTTACTGATAAGGGAATAATATCAAATCCATGCAATTTTCTTTAGATTCTTTGGGTGTGTGAACGGTCTGACTGATCAAATCCATCCATCCATTATCTATACCACTTAGTCCTGAATGGGGTCATCGGTGGGGGTTGGAGCCAATCCCAGCTGACATTGGGTGAGAGGCGGGGTACACCCTGGACAGGACACCAGTCTATCACAGGACTGACACACACACTCACTCCTATGGGCAATTTAGAGACTGACTGATCAAATGATGGAATGAAATGTTATAAATTGGGCAGTCTAACCTAAAAGAACATTATGAGTATCAGTGTTGGCTGAACCCCAGTAAACCACCCCCTCAAAGCCAAATATTATAAGACACCTGAGGGAACAACATATTGATGTGTTCCAGCAGTAGCACCAAAAATATCAAAAAACATAATCAGAACTCAGATGGGGAAAAAAAGCATGTGTGTGTGTGTGTGTGTGTGTGTGTGTACGCCTTTGTTTTATTTACATCATGAGGACCGATACCTGTTAACACATTCACACTATTGGGACTCAACCATCCTTGTGGAGACCAGAAGCTAGTCCCCACCAGGAAATCACTGAATTTTAGAGTGGCAACGTGGTTTAGGGTTAGGATGAGATTAGGTGTTAGGTGTTAGGCAAGTAGTGGTTATGGTTAAGGTTAGGATAAGTCTATAGGAAATGAATGTAAGTCAATGTAAAGTCCCCACAAGGAATGAAAACACAGTGTGGCAGACAGAAGGATGTTGGTAAAAACTAACATCCATCATGCACGACCTCTCCCATCCCCTGCACCACACAGTAGAGGCTCTGAACAGTTCCTTTAGTGCAAGACTGTTACATCCCCAGTGTAAGAAGGCATGTTACCCTAGGTCATTCCTCCCCACACAGCAATCAGACTGTACAATACATCACTGCAGTGATAAACTAGGTGAAAGTATGAGGGACTATGTAATAGTCAACTGAGGTGCAATACTCAAATCCTGGGGTAAAATGCATGGTTAATATGCAGACATGTAAATTCTGTTCTTGATTATTCAAATACTTGATTCTGTCTGTTTTTGAGTACTTGGAATTTATTTATCAGGATGTGTGTGCGGTGCTTGTTCTCATGGTGTTATACTGTTTGTTCTCTATTGCTGCTTGAGGTACTGAAATTTGTTTATCAAGATA